ACTATCAGGATGTTACGGCGTTTTAGGAGTTTGTTTTCTCCTATGTGGTTCAGCGTGGCTCTGCATCTATATTACAACATGTGAGTGCGCACACACAATTTTGGCACGCCTTTACAAAAAGCTTCCCCATCACTGCTGTAGGTTGGGTGACATTCCTGAGATCCATCTCCATGTATCTATTACTCATTCGTGATATTTTGCCAACCCAGAAACTGAGTTCGTTCAGGAAGCAGAGGGCATATAGGGATGCAGCCCCTGAAATAAATCTACAATGGCTTCCTGGATCTTTCAATTGCCGCCTAATAGGATACCCCTTTTTTTGCTAGACCATAAATATTTAAGAGGAGCTGCTTAAGGCGCAATTAAGAAATTTAATTGCCTTTAAACGCAAAGGGCTGAGTCCTCCAAATGGCCCCCTCCTCAACATGAATCAAAGAGTTGTTTGAGGTGGAGCCAACGAAAGATAACATTATGCCCCAATCAGGGATAAATTTTATCTTTGGTCCCAGCAAAGATGTCTTAAGAAATGAACAATTCAGCAAAGTGAGCGGTCTTTAGTGGCAACTCTTCTCCCCATTCTAACGGGTGAGTAATATTGGTTTTTCTTTTTCTTTTCTTTCTTTTTTTTTTTTTTGCAATCCCTTAGTAATTATATCAGGAGGACATATTTATTACAAATTATTGATTTTATAATTACTGCGGCTGCTGTTCACATTACTTCACAATGAAAACCTTTTAATATACCACGTTCTTCACCCTTAGCTGGCAGAGGGAGAGAATGAAAGCGAGAGAGAGAAAGGAAGAACAATTTGCAGAATGGCCAAGAGTTAGATTTTTATCGGCATCCTGCCCGCACCCTTCCTCACCCCTGTTCCTTTGGCCAAGGATCTAAGTCCAGGAGGATGGGGAGAGAGAGAAGATGAAGAAAATACTGCTAATAGCCCTTAAATCAAGACAAATGTTTGATGTCTCAAGGTCATTCCTAGAAGATTATTAGGAGTCAACCCTCAACAAGGGAGACAGATCTTTTTCTCCCATTTAATTGTAGAGTTATTTTACTGCTAACATCTCTGTGACTGGAAAGTTATAGCTTGAAATCATCTCTTGGCTCCCCATGTATGGAGAGCCACCAGCAAACACGGGGACAATGTTGCTGGAAGAAGATATATCTCTTACGAGGTTGACTTCTTGGCACCCTCGTGCAGATGCCAGGGGCAAAAATATAAATCCGCGTGCTCTATAATTGCTTCCTTCATTGCTGTTTCATTGCAGTTCAAGGCAGGACAATGCCTTAGTCTTCCTCACCAGGTAGGTCCTTGGAGAAATGATGAGGTATCAGAGACAGAAGAAAGAGCGGCTCTGATCTGGGGCTGGAGGTGAAATGAACCTTCTTGTGAAGGTAGATCGCACCCAATCCATCATAATCTGAACATTTTTCATGTCTTGTTCTAAACAAGGTGTTGTGACCCGCCGGCGGCCGGTGGAGCTGGCAGCAGAGTCGGACAGTGTAAAGGTTGGGGAGGAACATGGGCCAGTCCTGGGATTGAGGAACGAGGGCTCTGCGTCGGAGGCAGAGTGGAAGCTGGACAGCAGCGAGGCAGAAGAACAGCTGGAGCCTGTTCCCAGTGTGCACATGCGCAGAGCTGCCGGAAGACAAGAACAACTAAGAAAGCAGGGTCGACTTAAGAGTAAAGCCACACCTTGGAGGAGATTGGCCATTCCCAGAGGAAACAAATGAGGAACGAATGGGGAATGGGCTTTTGCAGAAAACAATTTGTTCATCGGTCTGGAAAGTTCTGTTTGGGATTATAAGAGACTTTGTGCCAAGTTTGGCTTTGGCCTGTGTTTGGAAACTAGTTATCTGGCAGCTCTCCAAATGAGATAAGGTGCGCGTGGATAAACATTCCTCAGAAAGACTGTTTGCTAAGCCTTGTGGACTGTGAATGAAAGGAATTCACAGTCATGTAAATAAAAGAGGTTTTATCGGGACCAAGACTCTGCTTCTTGCTGTCTAAGGAATCCTGGGTCAGAACATGAGGTGGCAAACAGATCCAATGCAGTGGTGGATTGCTTTTGCCTCCGCTACTGATACGCGGCTTGTGGTGTGTTTGTGCATGTGATGGACGTGTGCTGCGCATGTGCCAGACATGTGCTGCACACACATACACACTCCGGCATCCCTCTGACACCCAGCTGCTTGGCAGAGGTTGTGCAGGTGCTGCATGAGCAATTGGCCCAGTTGCCTTAAAAACAGGCATGGAGCACAGGCAGGTGGATGGGCCAAACAAGTCACCATACTGGTACAGTGGCCGCTGCTCCCGACCACTACCGGTACGGCTATACCGGCAGGAACCCACCACTGATCCAATGTGCAATTTGAGAGTCCTTGTGGTAGCAAGTGGTAGCAACAGCCAAGAAGGACAATTGCGGGACAATTGGACACAATTGGACACATTTAGACTAGGAGATCCTACTCATAGTCACTCATGTCACAGTCACTTATGAATTAGATTATTGCAGTTGGTGCTCTCAGATCGGGCATGTCAAACACGCGGCCCACAGCCCACATACGGCCCATGCAGGCCACACCCATCCTGGCCCTGCAAAGGCAAAAACAATTATGATTGGATTTGACACCCCTGTCTTAGATGGTGCTCTCCTTGAAGACTACTTGAAAGGCTCAGCTGGTCCAAGACAGCAACAGCAGTAGCACTTACGCTTATATATCTCTTCACAGTGCTTTGCAGCTCTCTCTAAGCTGTTTATAGAATAGCAATAGCAATAGCAGTTAGACTTATATATCGCTTCATAGCGCTTTCGGCGGTTTACAGAGTCAGCATATCGCCCCCACAAGCNCGAAGATACGCTGGCCCTAAGCCATGTAGGGCTTTAAAGGTAATAACCAACACCTGTTTCATCCTGAAACAGTTATTCTTCCGTGAGCTGACTGGTGTTCTAGTGGTTTAAACATTTATTGTTAGTAATTCTAAAGTGGAGAAAATGAGAGAGAGGAAAATTTCATTTATTTTCATTTCATTTATTAAATTTATAGGCCGCCCAATCCCGGGGGACTCCGGGCGGCTTACAATGAAAGAAGAAAAAAAGAAAAGGAGAATAAGTAAAAAAAAAAAGTTCAATATGTGTGGAAAGAGTTATTCATCAACCTCTAAGATAAAAAAAGGATGAAGGTTTTTTCAAATCAGTGATCAACTTGGCAGAAATGGAGGTGTCCCTCAGATAATTGTATTAAATGATACTCCTTGCCATTTTTTTTAAAGAAAAAGAGGCAGGTTTGGGCATGCACGAGGTTGGCTTGCACGAGGTTGGTTGTTTCTGTTTATGATCACAACAGCTTGCAATGAAAAGCTGTCATTTTTTTCTCAGGGTGTGTAGAACCAGTTCATCTGCTATATCATACCATGGAACCAGCGCCGATCTCTGAAGTGGCTGTGATGTATTGGCACTTTTAGGAATTTGATTTGAGCCTCAGGGAGTAGTAAGTGACTTTACAGTCATGCAGCTGCAAAAATAACCAGATATGTGTTTTCAGAGATTTTCTTTTTTTGCAAACCTTCTTTATCCAAATCGCCATCCACGATACTTAGACGCAATGGTCATGCAAATTTACACTACAGCTGCTCCTCATAGCCTCATCTTTTTCTCTCTCCTGAACTCTTTTGCACAAACAGTACACACTGCCATCTGTCCAGAGGAATAGGGGGTGACAGTTTTTTTTAAAAAAAAATTATGTGCAGCTGGAATCTCATAATCATTCTATCATGCATCGGCACAGCCAATCCCTCGGAAAGCTTTCCAACTCTTCTGCTAAAGAGTTTTCATGGCTTACAGAGACCAAAGTAATACAAACAGTATTCTGCATTTACCTCCAATTTTTTTAGTCTTTTGTCATACTTAGGGGGAAAATCAGGGGTGGGTTTCAACCGGTTCGCGGCGGTCCCTGCGAACCGGTTGGTCGGCGAACCCAGAAGTAAGTAACTTCCGGGAACGGCGAAGGGCGNGTGAATGAGCAGAATTCACAGTCAATTAATAAAAGGGTTTTTTTGTCGAGACCAAGAGTTGGCTTCAGGCTCTCGGGGAGCCTCGGTCAGAACAGAAGCCCGGTTCAGAGGAAGAGGAGTTGGAACTGGGACAACGTCTCCCTTGGCATGTTTGATGAGGCCAGTGGAGCAGAAGCTGTGGGAGCTCCATCCCTGGAGTTTTTAAAGAAGAGCCTGGACAGCCACATCTCTGAAACAGGGTAGAGTTGGGGCCACTGGTCTTTCCTCACCACCCCAAGTGGCTGATGATGCCCTGGTGCCTTTGGATTGCCCCCCCCCCCCCGTCCCCTCTGCTCCGTCCGCCTACCTTCTGCATCTCCTGCTGGGGCGGCTCTTTCATTTTGGAGATCGCGTTGCGGAGACGGGAATTCTCTTCCTCCAGAACGCTGATCCGGATGTTGTTGGCCTGCAGCTGTTTGCCCATGTCTTCTGTCACGTTCCCGGAGACTGCAAAGAATTAAAAACCAGGTTGGGGGAATCCGTGCCAGAACGGAAGGAGCGGTGTTTTTGGAATGGCTGCGCTCGGAACGGGATGGGTGGTGCAAGGCTCAGGGGCTAAGATGCTGAGCTTGTCGACCAGAAAGGTCAGCGGTTCGGCGGTTCGAATCCCCAGCGCCACGTAAAGAAGTGAGCTCCTGTGACTCGTCCCAGCTTCTGCCAGCCTAGCAGTTCGAAAGGAGGTAAAAAATGCAAGTAGAAAAATAGGAACCACCTTTGGTGGGAAGGGAACAGCGTTCTGTGCGCTCTTCGGCCTTGAGTCACGCCGGCCACATGACCACGGAGAACGTCTTCAGACAGCGCTGGCTCTTTGGCTCCACCCCCAATAGTTTTTAAAAATTTTATTTTCATATAAGTATTCACAAGTATGCCCTTACATCTTAACAAACACTATTATGTATTATCCGATATTGTATCAATTCCTCTCACTATCTACCCACAATAATTCTCATTTGCTCTTCTGCTTTCCATACACCGTATTATACCATGCTTTACAACAGCACTACCTTCTCCCCCTCTCTCCTCCTTCCTTCCTTCTATCATCTCTCTTCTCTACTTCCCTTTCCTCTTTCCGCTCCTTCTCTCTCTCCTCTTTTCCTCACCTCTGCTTCCTTCTCTCCTATCCCTTCTCTTTCCCCCTCCTCCCTTCCCCGCGCTCCACTTGACTTCCATGGTGTCCTTCAGCATCCGAGCAGACTCAGTTTAATATTGATGGTATTCGGCTTTGGAACGGAGATGAGCACCGCCCCCTAGAGCCGGGAACGACTAGCATGGATGTGCGAGGGGAAAATTTACCTTGACCTGGTCAAGGAGGGTCCCATCTTCCTAATTGAAACCAGGGATCAATTTGTCTTAGACGTTGTGAAATCAAAGAATGGGCTGTGCTCACCCAGATTACCGTATTTTTCGGAGTATAAGACGCACCTTCCCCCCCCCCAAAAAAGGGTGAAA